AGAAATGTCATTATCAAAAATGCCAACTATTTTCGTAAACAATATATAAATATCTCTAACTTATAAATATTAAAAAAGTGGCATACAATTTCATCATATTACAATGGAAGTTCTTACTTTTATATATCACGTTCTGTTAAAAAGAAATTTACAAGTTTGTAAATATAACATAACGAGTGCAACACTTAACTATCGCTATATTCTATATATCCACAGAGTTGATTTGTGGATAGATACATCTCAGTATCAAGTTAGAGAGAGAGAGAGAGAGAGAGAGAGAGAGAGAGAGAGAAATATCTTAATTTTCACTTTCATAATCTGATACTATTTCTTATACAGCGAAAAGAGGGGGTATTTCATGAGTAGACAGATGGTTAGGTAGATATTTATATATATGTGGAAAGGTAAATGAATATGTAAATGGATGTATATATACATAAATGGAGAAAGTCATGTATAACAGTTTAGTAGACAGTAACAGAGATAGGGATGCTGATAAATCTTATAAACACAATTGGCATCACTGCTAACTTGCTTTTATTATAACCACTTTTTTGTAAATATTTTTCCATCTATGTATGCATGCAAATATCTGTATCAATACCCGTTAACTGTCTGTAAGATAAAACAACTATCGGATAAGGTTAGGTTGGTGAATGGGTTTTAAGGCCTTACATTTACACGAGGGTTGCATATCACCTACCCACCATGAGACAAGATACTTGGATCACTAAAACAGGGAGTAAAGTAAATTCTCAGCATATACACACTGAGAAATACACCTCTCGGTGTATATATCGTGTGCGGAAAGAAAAATGTTTTTTTAATGGGGCTGAAAGTCCATCTACTACACGAGGGTCATTAAGGCTGCACGTGTCCAAATCACCACCTGATAAGAATACTTTATGCCTATAATAGGAATTAAGGTAAGCTCTTAGCGTATATTCGCTGAGAGAAATACACTTCTCAGTGCACAGATCCTGTGGGAAGGAAGGATAAAACTTGTAAGGAAAAAGAACAACAGTTTCCCAACACGAAATCATAAAATGGTCCGTTACCTTTAATACATATATTGGAAAGATAATTGGTGGATTGGTTAATGGGGGTTTAAAGCCTTTCGTACATAATAGGGTTGCTAAGGCTGCACTCATAACCTTTTCACCACCAGACGAGAATAATTTAATCCTTAAAATAAGGTTTAAAGGAAACTTACTTGGTTGATGGGATTTGAAACCTGTCGACTCCACGAGGGTCGTGAAGGATGCACGAGGGTCGTGAAGGATGCACGAGGGTCGTGAAGCCTGTACAAGGGATCGAGAGGGCTGCACGGTAACCTTTTTTCATCACCTGACAAGAATACTTTAATCCCTAAAATAGGGATTCAAGTATTGGCATATATACACTGGGAGAAATACACCCCCTCGGTGAATTAATAAAAAAAGAAGCGCTAAACCACAAGGGCTATACAGCCCCCTCGGTGAAAATATTTTGTAAGTTCGTCTGACCGTAGCCTTCGATGGCTTACCGGTCCATCTCCTTTAAATATATATAAATTTATATACATGTGCCGAATAGGTAAAACTTGAAATTTTGGCTTGAATAGCAACGTTCTTCTTGCCGAATAAGGCAAGCGAAAATTTTTGTATGCAATAATTTCGCAAAAATAATTTTGAACCTAACGAAAAAAATATATTTCATTGGGTTTATTATTAAACTATTGTAAACTTATCTAAAATATATTTAGTTGGATTAGGCCAAATTAAATTGCGCTTATTATAAGGTTAGGAAAGTTTCTGAAGGGTCTTTTGTTACAAAATTAACAATGAAAATATATATCTTTAAACGCACAAGAGAAAATTTTAGAAAGGACTTGTATACATTTCTCGGTGTACATATAAACGGTTAAATATATATATATATATATATATATATATAATATATATATATATATATATATATATATATATATATATATTATATATATATATATATATATATATATATATATATATATATATATAAACAGTACAGTGTCTGCACTCTGAAGGAGGGGTGTTAATGTTGCAGTTTTATAACTAGTGTAAGCGCGCCTCTGGCAAGACGGTGATGGAGTGAATAATGATGAGTTTTTCTTTTTCGGGCCACCCTGCCTTGGTGGGAGACGGCCGATGTGTTAATAAAATAAAATAATAAACAGTTTACTTCCATTCCTATTTCAGGGGTTAAAGTATTATTATTATAATCAAAAAGAAGCGCTAAGCCACAAGGACTATACAGCGCTGCAGGGCAGGAAGGAAGCGAGGGCATCAGGTGGCAAAAGGGAGATGGATGAGTAATAGGTTACGGATAACAGCGGGGTAGTGGATGGTGAAAGGGTAAAGGGCAGCAAGAGACTGAACTAGAAAGGGCTGAGGGGAGTGCGAAAAGTATCATCAGAGTTTGTGGAGTAAATCAGTCGTTGTCAAGAAGTCAATGAGAGAGTCAGGATTAAAGGAGGGTCCATCAGCAAGAAGGGAAGGTAAAGAGAGAGTAGTAGAACGAAGACGACGTTGGAGGTAAATTCTGCGTGCTCGTTGATATTATTATAATCAAAAAGAAGCGCTAAGCCACAAGGGCTATACAGCGTGAGTGCTCGTTGATAGAGAGGGCAGTCTAACAGAATGTGGCTAATCGATACTGGAACTTGACACTGCTCACAGAGAGGAACAGGGTGCCTCTCCATGAGATACCCATGAGTAAGACGAGTGTGACCAATGCGAAGGCGGGAGAGAGTGGTCTCCCTTCAGGGGTTAAAGGGTTCTTAACTGGTGTACAATGAATTACACCCTTAATGGACCTCTCCTGCAGACGATAGACTTGAAACTAACAACATACAGACTACCATCGCACTGAAGCCTTCCAAGCTTTTCAGAGGACACGATCAAATTTCTTTCAGCAGAAGGATCTAATTTTTTTTCTGCCTTTAGGCATTTATTATAAATAATTTGGTTTGTATAGGGAGTCTTTTCAAATAATAATTTTGGATGCTTCTGTATATGTGAGCAGGACACTGGTGGGATGGGGTTGCAATTTAGGAAGACTTTCCTTCAGGGTTTTGCGCACATTTTCTCAGAGAAAAAGACTCCCAGTTGAGTGTTATTTTATCACCCTCTGTCTCGTTATTATAATAAAGAAGCGCTAAACCTACAAGGATCATACAGCGCAGACCCTCTATCTCGTAAAATGTAGAGTACTGAACTGGCAGTCTGAAAACCTCCGAAAGATAGGGTCGAATGTGTGTGTGTGTGTGTGTACTTTGATAATGAATGTGGAATAACTGTATTAAATAGGCAACTTTTTTTTTTTTTGAGAGTTTGTTAGGCAACACAAATGAGTCCAGTGACAACACACATGATCCGAGATTTAGATGTTACAGTGGTCGAGTTGCTGGCATCTGTTTTTGTCTGGCCGCGTTCAAGTCCCCGAGAAGTCTTCAGAAAGTTACGAATTAGTTACTGAAATATGTTTTGCATTGCAATAAAAGTGCATTTATTTTTAAAATAAATCAATAAAATTCAAGTAACCCAAGATAATTTGTTTATATGATTTACAGCACTTAAATTTGTATACCTTTGTACGAAGCTTGCAAAGACTTCACCATTTCGCTGAGCTAGTTATGATATATCAACGAACGCTACGACAGGAGAATATCGTTATAGTAAGACACTTATTGTAAGTAGCTACTAATTACCATATAATCGTTTAGATTTTTAAATAGGGATGTAAACCTCTAACTATTTTCCCTCAAAATTCTAAAACTTCACGGGTCTATTTCCTGACAAACAAAACATGAACGCCACATTATTGGCCGGAGAATATACACCGAAAGACTTATATCCTTGAATATATTCTAAAGCTTGGTTCAAGCCTTATTTCAAATGTTGAAATATTCAAGACTATATTGCAGAAGTGAAATGCAGCCTTAAAATACGCTTGTGTAATTGATGACTTTAAACTGAACAACCCATTCAACTAGCCCTTGTAAGGCCTTTTTGTCTTAAACCATTTTTGTCAGTTGTGAGTTACAATGAATATGATAGAAAATGTGGAGCGTGACCCATTTGGTCTCCACTAAACGGAGAAATTGAAGGATAAACTACGTGAAAATGACTTATAGATTATGACCTCACACACACACACACACACACATTATTTGGTTCGTAATTTAGCGTGTAATCATTAGTTTTACGTTATGAATTGTTAACCTATCCTAGGAAATACTTTCAATGTCTGAGAACTAGGACAATGTGTATAGTTTTGATGTGAATTATCATTGACTCTACTATGTTTATATTTGCCTGCGAGAGGTTTATATTGATCACTTGTGATACTGTGGCAGCGATGACGTGGTCTGATACCTCAACGACTGCATCAGTACTCAGCTGATCTATGCTGACTGACTGCATGAAAAATCTTCCACCCTTCCTCACTTGTTCTTGTTGAAGACTGAGGATGAGCGAGGTCCCTTGTCCCCAGTAACACTATTCCAAGTAAACACCTTTTTTAATTGTAATAGTCTTAGCAGCGGCTAGGACTGGTATCCAGAAAACACTGCTATACTCTCAGGAACACATAACTTGTCTTATGTCAGTACGTACTTTGTTGTGTATAAATTTACTGTTTTCCAGATTGAGACAGATGCTCAGGAATGGGACTGACTTAATCTATGGAGGCATCCATGACATGTGTTGCGTGTGGGATTCACTATGACTCACTCTGGGACTTAGTTTTACTTAGGTTTGGTCTACTGACTCCTATTTCTGTACAGTCACAACGCACTATACTTCATAGACTCAGCATTTGTCCAGCTGTTTAGACTGACCATGTATTAAAATTGAATAGACCTTGTCACCGATCTGCGTTACTGGTGTCTACACACCGTATTCTGTGGGCATAATTTGTGACCAGTTGGTATGCATGAATACATACACAAGTACTGTGTTGACTTTGGATCGCGTGCAAGCCAGTTGCTCACAGACACTAGTTTGTATATTGTATTATTTGTATTTGTTCTGTCCAATAATTTTTTTTCCTTGCGGACTATAATGTACGTGCACAGTATTTATTTATAAACATAGGCGCACTTTACACTTAATGGTTCACCAAATCTCTCTGCGATTTTCCTCTTAAACCGAGAGCGAGTTTGCATACAACGGGTCTGACTCTGGTGGCAGTGGTAACGTGTCTGTTTTTCTCTCACTCACACACACACACACACAGTACTGTTTCTCCACACAAATAAAAAGCATAAACATACAACGGAATGTGTTATTAAATACAAAATAAGCAAGTGTTAATATTAGAAAAGTAATATTAGTAATAAAAATGTCAATAACAATGATAATAGTAATAAACATTAGCACACAGATCCAACAAGGAGGATGTAAGATGAAGGAAGAATAATGAGTGTCGTAATCCTAATAGAGAGAATTGGATTTCACTAAGTCTAGAACGGATCCTTGCTCCAAGCTTTCACAGTATCTTTGTGCAAATGCCTACGTTACTATTTACAAAGGTGCACTTGAGAACAGCATGAGTATTGACTAAAGAAGTATAAACATCACTTTTTATTTACAGTTCTACAGCGGTGCGCCGCTCTGAAGTCATTTATATTCAGTCATTCATGAAATGAAAATTGGAATGAAAAACATTGTGGTGTCATGCCAGATTGTGACCAAGTTGAAAATGGTGAAGTTATTTGTATTTATTATGTCACTAACGAAATTAGAAGTAAATTCAGAAATATCGAATGTGATTGTGTGTGTGTGTGTGTGTGTGTGTGTGTGTGTGTGTGTGAGAGAGAGAGAGAATGGAATATCTAAGACTACCATATGAAACACGGAAAAAATCGAGGAGATACGTTGGTTTCTCCTCCCACCTGTATTCTGTGTTTTTTGTTGCATTACGGTGTATGTATCAATGACGAACTTACAGATTTAAACAGCAGCAGCGAGCGCACACGGACACCTACGCACGCTAACACGCACACGCATACATACAAAAACACAGGAAAACACACACACACAAACACACACACACACAGACATTTATTCAACAAAGTATACACACAGTTCCAACGACCATTCGTCATCTTCCGTGGGCTCAGGGTCAGAAGACGCGTATGGTGATTGGTCAAAACAATTAACCAATGAGAACTAGCAAAGACTCACTTTGCGATTGATTTAAAAAAGAAAAAACAAGAGAATCCGTCCAGTAGCAACAAAGTCGGACTCCTATTGGTCAAAACTGTAGACCAATGGGGAGGACTCCCATCGTTGAGTCTAGAGTTTCAAGTTTGTTTTATTAAGACACAAAATACTGTCAATATTTGTCTTCTTAAAAATGAAGGAATGACAAAGAGAATGATGATGAGAAAGACAGAAAAAACTGTTCAGAGATTAGAAAAAAGCACCATAGTAACTACATGTGAAACTAGACATGTATATTTTGAGAGAGAAAATGAGAAAATCTGAGAGTAAGGTAATTGCAAGATTACATTACATAGCCTTATCATAAATGCATCAGACTTATATTCTCCTTACGTCTTAATAACATCAATAACAGTATATGTCATCCTTTTTCTTCTCAAGAATATCCTCAGACTTGAGTTTTTCATTCGTCGGAATAATTTTTTCTAGTAATGGGAATGAGGTTGATATGTTGTCTTTCCATGCTGCTGATGTGACTGCTGTGAGTGTACCTAACAGTCTAGCTGCCAGTCGTCCACTCTGCCAGATCCTCCTCCTCTGCATCACTTGTGGTTCATATTTATCTTAAACCAGTCAGTTTCTTGGTGTTTGGACCATTCAGTTTCTCAATAATTAATCTTTCTTCCTGTTACGTACTTAGTGTTTTTATTAATATTTTTCTCCAGTTTCTTAGCTTCCGATCCACGTCTTAATTCTGCTTAATTTCTTAGTGTTTATTTTAGAAATTGAGTTTCTCGAAGTCCGCCAAGGATTAGGAATCTACTGGACCATTTCATCAAAAACTTAATTTAACTTTTGTGTCCCGATATAAAAAAAAATACTTTTATACAGGGGCTGTGCAGAGCCCACTTTGCAATTTTGATTAATATTGTTTTGTTTTGCTTTTATGTGCTTGATCTTGCAACCTGCAGTAGCTGCGGTCTGTCTCAGCCATTATTCCATCGTCGAATTTATCTTGTATCTAAAATATAGTTGAAGAGTATCTGGGTTAATCCGTGGCCTGATCTGTCCAATCGCTATCCGGTGGTACGTTAAGATTATCTGACATCCCTGAAGCACAGTGACATCTGTCTCTTGTGTCCGTGATGTCACAAACCGTCCAGCTCAAATGGACTCACACACCAGCAGTCTTATACTTTTGGTACTCGAAATACCACTTGTGCATACATCTCTAGTAAATATTAAAAACCTCTAAATTAATGTAACACTTAGGGCTTCGGGGATAGGTTTGACACTGATATAAATAGCAAATATAAAAATGGGAAAACAAGAACACTTTTATTTTTAGTTGCTCCCCCTCCGAGGAGGAAGTTAATGCTGAATCGCCGAAATACCGATTCTGGTTGTGCCGTTTTTGTCCTTCCATGCAGCTGCATGTCGAAGCGATGCTTTGCAGTTGCACATTGTTGGCACTGATGAGAGTTAGAGGAGTGTGTTCAGTCCGCGGAACAGGTCCACAATAACAACATAACAGTCAATCACTTGCAACTACGTTGTCCACTGTCAGCTGATTGTGCTGATGACGTGTAAACCACGCAGGACAAGGCGAGCGTTCCTGTGCACTCATAGAATTATGATTATTTTTAAAAATGCAAAGTATCATGCTTCTTATTTGTTACGTAATATTCCCTCCCGTGCGCACAAACAGGGAGATGTTTAATACATACGCACAAACTTAATGAGAGATTTTGGACATTATATATCTATCTATGAGAAATCATTCGTGCTCACTAATGCCGAAGCATCTCTCTCTCTCGCATAAGTAAACACCCTTAATAGATCTCGCATCCTTACGTACTCTGAAAAATCTTAGGTAAACGCACGAGACATCATTAAACGTAGATTACTTAAACGTAAATTATCAGCATCACTTTACACGCGTTGCATATTACTTGAGTAGATTTCTTCACCAGAAATGAAACCATTACAGGCGTCAGGTAATCTACACTCGCAGTTCCTGAAATAATATTGTCACATTACAATAGCAAGTAACACTAGTGATATGGTAGAGTAACCCACACACTGCAGTGGCTGGTGATAGGTTGTGGGGGAGGGGGGTCGAGGAGCGGGGAGATAACGAGCTAGCTAAAACATGGTGGACATACAAATAGGAAAACAATAGCCAAGTTAGTCGCTGGAGACACTTCCAATGTTTTTATATCACGGAGTTAAAATCGCAGAAGCAGAGGTTCCACGATGCTTCTTCTTCGACTATCCTGATGGAGCTTGAGCCCTGAAATTGTTAGATTCAAAGAGGTATTGGAGAACTCAAGTGTTTATCCGCCAGTGTTAAATCGACGCGGAAGGCAGGACCTTCCATCTTTCGGAGATCGTTGGTATTCTTGGCAAGACTGTCCATTCAACGATCTCTCCATCTGATTATCGGTAGTGATTTGCACTATTTTTTCCCACGTGATGCAAGGGGTTAAATGCTACGTTTAGCGTTGCATAGAGGTATTTCTGTGGCTCCAAGAGTGCTCTACATGCTGGTTTTGGGAGGTTACACAAGTCATCCTTAGCGATTATTGGAGAAGCTTGCTGTCCCAGGAACAATGTTATTAAAGACAACACCTCCCGACGTGTCATCCTAGCGAAGCCTCCAGTGGCCTTCCAGCGACCCGCCCGACAGAAATAACAATGGCTCACTCGCGAATCTTCCAGTAAACCACAAGTCGCGAGTCAGCACAAGCAACAAGTAAGGAGGGAGGGAGGGAGGGAAGAGTCCTCCAGGCAGCCTCCTAGTCGACTTGTGTCTCCTTCAAAGAAGTGCCTCGTTCTCCATGGCGCCTTGACTTCCTCCCTCGGTAGCCGTGCGGGAGGGCGTCCCTGGCACCGTCTGCAGCTTCACCACTTCTGAGCCTGCCACGGGGAAAAAAAACAAAAGTGTCAAATAATGTAAATAGATAACTCACATGATAAACATAACACAAAACCGAAGAGAGTAAGAAACACAGGGTGAAAATGGAATGCCTGAAGACTGTCTCAGTTGGGGTCGAAATATACAGCGTGTTTTTTTACCCTCTAGGTTTTCCTTTTATATTGATCACAGCTCTAGAGAGTGTGTGTGTATGTGTATATATATATATATATATATATATATATATATTATATATATATATATATATATAATGTCGTGCCGAATAGGCAGAACTTGCGATATTGGCTTAAATAGCAACGCTCATCTTGCCATATAGCACAAGTGAAAATTTGTGTATGCAATAATTTCACCAAAATCATTCTGAACCTAACGAAAAAAATATATTTCACTGGGTTTGTTTAGTATTAAATTATTGTAAACAAATCTAAAATATATTTAGTTAGGTTAGGCTAAAATAAATTGTTCTTGTTATAATAAGGTTAGGTAAGTTTTGTAAGATTCTTTTGGTGCAAAATTAAAATTTTTTTACATTATCATAAGAACATAAGAAAGGAGGCACACTGCAGGAGGCCTGTTGGCCCATACTAGGCAGGTCCTTTACAATTCATCCCACTAACAAAACATTTGCCCAACCCAATTTTCAATGCCAACCCAATTAATTTTCATTAATGAAAAAAAAATATATCTTTAAATGTATAAGAGAAAATTTTAGAAAGGACTTAATTTTAAATGAGTTCTTGCTAATTGACCAGTTTTACATATTCGGCACGACATTATATATAATAATATATATATATACACACATTATATATATATACACATTATATATATATAAAATGTGTATATATATATAAAATGTATATATATATATATTATATAAAATGTGTGTATATATATATATATTAAAATGTGTATATTATATATAAAATGTATATATATATATATAAAATGGTGTTATATATAATTATATATATATATATATATATATATATTATATATATAAAATGTGTATATATATATATGTGTGTATTTATATATATAAAATGTGTATTATATATATATATATATATATATACATTTATATATAATATATATATATATATATATAAATTTTATATATATATATATATATATATATATATATATATATATTATATATATATATATATATATATATATATATTATATATATATATATCACACACACACACACACACAAGTGATCTTCCTCCTGAACACTAAGTAACGAAACTGAGGAAGATTATTATTGTAATCAGGGGTAAACGTTAAGCTCTTGGGTCATATAGCGCCTGGGGAAGTGGTAATTGTGATAGTAATGGTACTAGTAGTGATATTGATGGTGAAGATGATAATAGTTGTGATGGTAGTGCTTCTGATGATGATGATGCTAGTGATGTTGATGGTAATGATAAATATCGTAATGACAGTATTGATAATGATAGTGAAAATGGCAATGATGGTGATAATGATAGTAATGACAAGTGATTATAATAGGAATGATAAATGATAGTACTGGTGATGATCGTAATGATGGTGATAATGATAGTGATTGTAATAATAAAAGGTGATAACAGTCGTGATAATAACAATGATAACGAAATAATGATGGTCAATATAACAAGAGGAATAACACTGATAGTGATAATGACTAATAACGATGATAATGAAGTGAAAACTCGTAGGGGGAAGAGATCATAGCCCCTGAGGAATGGGAGGTAATCAGGTTTGATCCGTGGAAGGGGATAACTCCAATTCCTTAGATCAAGAGCCCTGAATACAACAATACAATGAGAAACACATCGACACACATGTCAAGCAGTACGAAAATAATGAATGACGTCACGTGTCTATCATGGTGATTCTGACTTGTAAAATGATAATGAATAAGGTCAGCATGATAGTGACTGATATCTTTTATAAGGTGATAGTGATATATTTTGTATCAGGTGATAGTGACATCTTTAGTAGAACATGATGACATCTTTCATATAAGGTGATAGTGACAACTTTAGTAGAACATGATGACATCTTTCATATAAGGTGATAGTGACATCTTTTGTATAACATAATAGCGACATCTTTTGCAGAACATGATGACTTTTTTGTTTAACATGCTAGTGATATGATAGAGATTGACATCACACTATAATAACATGATAGTGACATCACACTATTACAATATATTGAGATGGCAAGAGACTTCTAACATGAAAGTGATTGGCATCACACTAACATAATAGTGACATCAAGCTCTTCTAACATGATAATGATTAATACCACACTATACTAGCATGATAGTGACATCATACTATTCAAACATAATAGTGCCTTTGACATATCACTAGTCTAACGTGACACAAACATTACTAACAGGAAGAGTCACTATCACTTAATGATCATAAGAAAGAAGGAACACTGCAACAGGCCTACTGACCCATGCGGAGCAGGTCCATGTACCCCCCCCCGGATAAGACCAATGACACCCCCCCCCGGATTATCCCAATGACCCCCCCAGTCTGGTCATCCCCCTCAAGGTGGACCCTGTCCCAGACCAGCAGCACAAGCTAGTCAGGCCCAACTAACCCACCAACCCACTCATGATTTACAACATTTTTAAAACTACACAACTTTTTTAAGCCTAAATAATGTACTGGAGCTTGTTCCACTCATCCACAACTTTACCAAACCAGTGTTTCCATACCCTTTCCTGAATCGAATTTTTAACATTGGAAGTGGATTTAAAATGAAGACCCCTTGTTTGCAATCCTAAGTTATGTACAGCCCAGGGGAGCCTCTCTCTCTCTCTCTCTCTCTTCCTCTCTCTCTCGTTTGGAAAAAAATATTTTTGCCATCGGGACACAGTGGCTAATATTCCCAGTAACTTTTTTTGTGTACTCTGCATAAATGGACCCGGCTATGGTGCTATAGCCAGGTCCAGAGTTATGACACAGGTGTAATTCTACACCTGACTGCCCAACACGGGACTACACCGGGTTCCTAAAACCCGACTACCCCGAAGTTTTAACACGTGTGACTATACCTACGTCCAAAACCTAAAAATACCCCAAAGCTCTAACACATGCATGACTACATCTGACTTTTAAACAAACGTGTTCCAAACCCCGACTGTGCAAACACGTGACTCACTACACTGACTGTTCAAACGCTTGAGTCACTACACCTGAGCTCTAACACATGGTACCTCCGGGTGACGTTACGTGTATGCTCGACTTTCCCCACTGTTACTCTTCTTGTCTTGCCTGCCCCTTTTTACCTGGGGGGGAAACAAGATGAACATTTAAGAAGTTTAAACCCTCCCCCTCCCTCCCTATTTTCCCTCGTCACTCCCTTCGATTTCCCGTCACTCCTCTCAACCTTCGTCAGTATTGACAAGCTACAGTGATTCTGGGCGCTCGAAGGCGACCTTTTCTGAAGATTCGTTTTTCTTCCTACGGCTGCTTAACTAAGTTTGCAATAAGATTACAGAAAAACGGGTGAATCACAATATCAAAACAACCTGTGAAAAATTAATAAAATTGCAAGCGCTTTCGTGATTTTTCACATTATAAAGGAACTATACAACAGTTAGGAATAGTAAAAAGGTGTATTTTTTGTGTCGAAAGACGACTTAAACCGGCTATGAGGTATAATGCAAGGGTGAAAAACATGAAAATATGTCCACGATGGCTTGGGGGAAAGAGAGAAGACTAACTTTTTTCAAAGAACATGAAATAACGATAATGAGATTATTATGTACCGGCAATAGATAAGTGGCCACAGTGTAATTTATAAAAAAAGTGGGAGAGAAGTTTAAAAAAAAAAAATCTAAAAAAATGATTCACTAAGGAAAGGGATTTGAAAGGGGATGCAGTGCTATAATTAATGGAAATTTTAAAAATATACAAGAAAATAATCTGTAAAGACATGATATATAACGATTACTTGAAGAAAAGGGCCCCAAGGTATAGCTCTTTTCCTGTACCTACTGATAGCCACACATAACAGGGCACCCTCCCTTCTTCCTAATGGTGTCTGTCCTATACCCACTAACAGTCAGGCTAACTTCAAGTCAGATGGGAAAAGTGGTTCCGTGTAGCAGATGTCCAAGGCAGATGTGACAAAATAATTAAAGAGGCAGTTACACACACACACACCGAGAAAACATTACCGTGATTGAGGGGGAGCTGGAGCGGTCCCTTCTTGTACGGGGCGCTTTTCATGGTAAGTTTCCTCACGTTCTTGTCCGGGTGGAAGACAATGATATAGATCTTGGGAGAGTAGAGACAAACCAGCGCCACTGACGCTGACAGCGAGATGGCTACACATAGAGTCGTTATCTGCACCTGAGGAAACAAATTCAAGAAGCTACAGAGAATAAAAAGGCACAACACCGCAACTGGAACAATACCAAATAACCGCACATGGGAGAGACTTAACCTACTTACACTGTTGAAAAACTCGTTGGAATGTAAACAAACCATGGAACGGGTGGGATTTGAACCCTGTGGCAGGCGAGTACTGAAACTCACAGGCCAGTGCGCTAACCACTTGGCCAGCTGGGTCTAATAATATTCGTCAGTCGACGTTTCGGTCCGACTTGGCCCATTAGCGATGTTGTGTATTTTATTCATCGTTAGAATGTAGACACATTCCTTAGAATGCTAACCTTGTTAGAATGTTGACAACACCGTTATTTTGTAGACAACCTTTTCTCAACATGTCAGCCTCGTTAAATGCTGGAAACCTTATTAGAATGTCGACAATTTCTTTAAAATGTTGATAATTTCGTTAGAATGTCAAACATCCGCGACAAAGATGTGAGACAACGGACCGCAAACAAAAACAGTAGTATACATTTTTTAAAGGGGTTATCGAATCTAAAGGGGTTTGTCTAAGACAGTCGACATTCTAACGAGGTTGCAGGCTTTTTAGGAAATTTGCCGACATTCTAAAGAGGTCGACGTTGGGGAGGTACACTGACAAAGTTGTCACAACTAAAGGCTGACTTTCTAAAGCGGTCGACATTCTGAAGGGGTTTTTGTCGACATCCTAACAAAATTATCAACATTATAAAGAAGTCGTCGACATTCTAACATTTAACGAGTTTGTCACTTTAAAAAAAGGTTGTCTACCTAATGATTTTTTAAACATTCTAAGAATGTAAACATCACTTCAAAATTTCGATTCTTTAGAATGTCTGCAATTCTTTAAGTGTCGACAACTTTAGAATACGGACCGCTTTAGAAGTAGACCAGGCTGTTGCTGTTAGGGTCCCGTCTCACAGACGTCACAGCTGGGGGCACTAAACAGTGAATCATTTAGCTAATGTAGATTCCATGGACAAAAAAAACAAGATTGTGTACAAAACCAGGTGTGTGTGTGTACAGACCCAGTGTGTGTGATTTGTACAGACACCATGTGTGTTTTGGTGTGTTACAGACACCAGTGGTGGTGTACAACACCCTGTGTTGTGATAGACACCCTGGTGTGTGTGTGTACGCACCAGGTGTGTGGTGTGTGTACAACACCAGGTGTGTGGTCAGAACCATTTTTTGTGTGTACAGACACCATGTGTTGTGTACAGACACCAGTGTGTGTTCAGACACCAGGGTGTGTGTGTGTACGAACCGTGTGTGTTTTGTGTGTACAGACACCAGTGTGGGTTGTTCAACACCAGTGTGGTGTGGTGTACAGACCCAGTGTGTGTGTGTTGTACAGACACCAGTGTTGTGGACAGACACCGTGTTGTGGTACAGAACCAGTGTGTGTGTGTACAGACAGTGTGTTTGTACAGACCCATGGTGGGTTACAGAACCCGTGTGTGTGTGTACGACACCAGTGTGTGTGTGTACAGACACCCGTGTGTGTTGGGACAGACACCAGTGTTTTTGTACAGACACCAGTTGTGTTGTCAGACCCAGTGTGGTGTGACGACACAGTGGGTTTTTGTGTCAGACACCATGTGTTGTGTCAGACACCAGTGGTGGTGGTGTGTACAGAACCAGTGTGTGGTGTAAGCACCCCGTGTGGGTGTTACGACACCCGTGTGTGTGGTGTGTGTGTGTGTACAGACCCAGGTGTGGTGTGTGTGGTCAGACACCAGTGTGTGTGTGTTCAGACACCAGTGTGTGTGTGTGTGTGTGTGTACAGACACCAGTGTGTGTGTGTTCAGACACCAGTGTGTGTGTGTGTTTACAGACACCAGTGTGTGGTGTGTGGTGTGTACGACACCAGTGTTGTTGTTCAGACACCAGTGTGTTGTGTGTTGTGTGTACAGACACCATTTTGTGTGTTCAGACACCATGTGTGTGTGTGTGTACAGAAACCAGTGGGGTGTGTTGTGTACAGCACCAGTGTGTGTGTGTGTGTACAGACACCAGTGTGTGTGTGTGTGTACAGACACCAGTGTGTGTGTGTGTGTACAGACACCAGTGTGTGTACAGACACCAGTGTGTGTGTGTACAGACACCAGTGTGTGTGTGTGTGTACGACACCCGTGTGTTGTGTTCAGACACCGTGTGTGGTTGTTGTACAAAACCGTGTGGGGTGGTGGTGTACAGACACCCGTGTGGTGTGTACGCACCATGTGTGTGGTACAGACACCAGTGTGGTGTGTCAGAAACCCCGTGTGTGTGTGTACGACACAGTGGTGTTAGACACCAGTGTTGTGTGTTGTGTACAGCACCAGTGTGTGTGTGTGTGTACAGACCCAGTGTGTGTGTGTTCAGACCCAGGTGTTTGGTGTACAGACACCAGTGGGTTGTGGTGTACAGACCCGTGTGTGTGTGTACAGACACCAGGTGTGTGTGTACAGACACCCGTGTGTGTGTGTACAGACCAGTGTGTGTGTGTACAGAACCCTGTGTGGTGTACAGAACCAGTGGTGTGTGTACAACACCAGTGTGTGTGGTAAGACACCAGTGTGTGTGTTACAGACACCCTGTGTGTGTGTACAACACCAGTTGTGTGGCACGCCCAGGGGTGTGGTAAGACACCAGTGTGTGTTGTACAGACACCTTTTGGTTTTTGGTGGTGTTTAAAAAACCAGTGTGGTGTGTACAGCACCCGTGTGTGGTGTGTACAGACACCTGTTGTTGTGTTGTGTGTTGGACAACACCATGTTGTGTGTGGTTGTTAAAACACCATGGTTGTGACAGACACCAGTTGGTGTGTGGTGTGTGGGTGTGTAAACACCATGTTGTGTGTTCAGACACCCGTGGTGTGTGTTCAGACACCAGTGGTGTGTGTGGTGTGTGTACAGACACCCCTGTGTTGTGTTCAGACACCCGTGTGTGGTGTGTGGTTTTGTGTACAGACACCAGTGTGTGTGGTTCAGAAACCCGTGTGTGGTGGGTTTCAACACCAGTGGTGTGTGGTGTGTACAACACCAGGTGTGTTGTACAGACACCGTGTGTGTGTGTTTTGACAGCACCAGTGTGTGTGTGTGTGTACAGACACCAGTGTGTTAAAGGGCACCAGTGTGTGTGGTACAGACCCAGTGTGTGTTGTGTGTGTTACAGACACCCGTGTTGTGTGTCAGACCCAGTGTGTTGTGGTGTACAGACACCGTGGTGTGTGTGTACAGACACCAGTGTTTGTGTGTAATTTTCACCGTGTGTGTGTGTGTTGTGTGTGTGGTGTGTTGTGTACAGACACCCTTGTGTGGTAGACCCAGTGTGTTTGTGTGTGTGTACAGACACCAGTGTGTGTGTGTACAGACACCAGTGTGTGTGTGTGTGTGTGTACAGACACCAGTGTGTGTGTGTGTGTACAGACACCAGAGTGTGTGTGTGTACAGAACAGTGTGTGTGTGTGTTTGTGTGTGTACAGACACCATAGTGTGTGTGTGTGTGTGTACAGAGCACCAGTGTGTTGTGTGTGTGTGTGTGTGTGTGTGTACAGACACTCGAGTGTGTGTACAGACCAGTGTGAGTGTGTGTGTGTACAGACACCTGTGTGGTGTGTGTATACAGACACCATGTGTTGTGTGTGTTACATACACCAGTGTGTGGTGAGTGTACAGACACCAGTGTGTGTGTACAAGACACCATGTGTGTGTGACAGACACCAGTGTGTGTGTGTGTGTACAGACACCAGTGTGTGTGTGTACAGACACCAGTGTGTGTGTGTACAGACACCAGTGTGTTTGAGTGTGTACGCAGACACCAGTGTGTGGTGTACAGACACCTTGTGTGTGTGTGTGTGTCCCAGACACCAGTGTGTGTGTGTGTGTACAGACACCAGGTGTGTGAGGTTGTATACACCAGTGTGTGGTGTGTAGACACACAGTGATGTGTTGATGTGTGTGTGTAGACACTAAGAAACATAAGAACATAAGAACGAAGGAACACTGGTCAGAAAAAAAAGGCTACTGGCCCATGCGAGGCAGGTCCAAGTCCCTACCCGGCTAAAGCCAATGCACCCAACCAATTCCAGGTCAGTTCACATGACCTTAAGGAGTTAAACACGGCACCGACCTGGTAGCACAAGATATCAGGTCTAACTCACACCCACGGCCACATCCACTCATGTAGTTATCCAACCTATTTGAAAAGCTACACAACGTCTGGCCTCTATAGCTGTACTTGGGAGTTTGTTCCACTCATTCCCGAACTCTATTACCAAACCAGTACTTTCCTATATCCTTCCTGAATCTGAATTTTCCCAACTTAAAACCATTGCTGCGAGTCCATGTCTAGGCTAGATTTTTTCAGCACACTATTACATCCCCTTTATTATTCCTGTCTTCATTTATAACACCTCAATCATATCCCCCCTAATTCATCCTACGTCTTTCTAGAGAGTACAGATTCAGGGCCCTTAGTCTATCCTCATAGTTGAAAGGTTTCTGTACATGGATCAAACTTTGGTCCATCCACCTTTGTACATTTTCCAGGAGAATTTATATCCATTCTAATAATGTGACCAAAACAGTTGCAGCAATAATCAAATGGGCCTAACCAAGGATATATAGAGTTGAATAACAACCTGAGGACTCCTATTATTATGCTTCATGATATGAACCAAGGATTCAAATCGCTTTAATTTATTGCGAACACTTAAGTATGCACTGTTGTCTTGGTTTTCAGATCACTGCTAACCCAGAAAACCCTTTTCCTAAATCTTTTCGCAATCCCAAAATATTAAGATTACATGATTTAGTTATATGTGGCCGTTATTGTCCTGTCCAAACATTTAGAACTTTGCATTTGACTATATAAACTGCATCTGCCACTTCTCCGACCACTTCATCAGTCCATTCAAATCTTCCTGGAGGCTCGAATGTCCTCTTCAGAATGAAATTCGACGGCCCCCCCCTATTTTGGTGTCATCGGCAAACTTG